CACACACACACACACACACACACACACACACACACACACGTTAGGTAGAGAAAACAAGGGCACACCCAAACTGCAAAATAAATAAATAACAAACACAAATGTGCCAGTCAGTGCATAACACACTAGTCTGGTCTAAAATGTAATAAAACAAATAAAATAAAAATATAAAAAACAACATGCAGACACATTGTGACAAGTTTAGGATAACTTTTTATGCAAGCTATATAAAAATAAATGTCTCTACCTCTTAGTGGGACTTCTGACACTGAGAGGAGGAACCAGGGTGAGCAGTATGAGGTGGATGAGAGGTCTTCAGATGATCACCAGTCAGTGGATCTGTTCTTGGATTTGATGATTTTCATGTGAGAGAAAGCAGACTCACACTGATAGATCCAAAAAGTGCTGTCAAGTTCAAAGCACCTCTTCTGATGGTGGGATACATTTCCTCTGACAGCAGACTGCAGAACTCTCCATCCATGTGACTTATTGCTAGGCCTGTCGCGATAGTCAATAAATCAATTAATTGCATGATAAATGTTTCTGAGGTCGGTAAAAAAAATGAGGACGATAAGTTTCATTTTCCTGCTTGTTTGTTTACTTCGTCTCTCTCCCTCTCTGTGCTCTGCTACACAGGAGCTCAGCTGACTCCTCCCCTCCTGCTTTCTTGGTGTCGGGAGGAGTGAACTCTCGCTTTAGCATGAGAGCTCGTAGCAATAACAAACTGAAGAAATGTTCCAAAGCAGAATGCGGCTGCTGCAGTGTCGGAGCACTAGAGCCTGAATTTCACTGCAGGGAGACACACACAGAGAGAGGAGGAGAATGGGGTGGGGGCTGAAACTCCCCCAGACCCACGACAAATTCATCAAGACTTTACCTGTAGCTCTCAAAAATAACAGGAAACTTAAACGCACCATCTGTGTTTTAACAAAACACCCAAAAAACCTGTAGCTGTCCCAGTAACTCATGAGGAAAACGGCGAACTGTCTGATTTCCTCCCCCGCAGCGCTCTGCTTGTCTCCTCCCTGACTGTCCCCTCCTCACACACAGACACGTTTGTTCTTCTATCCTTATGGGGACTTTGCATTGACTTTCATTCATTTACCAGTATTTTCTATTACCATTTGACCCTAAACCTAGCCTACACTTTACGTGGGATGTGAACTGGGCTTATGTCCCCATAAGWAACAGTGGGTCCTCACCAGGCTGTGTAGTTTGCTTTATCTCTAAAGAGATGCTGCTCTTTATTATTGTTTATTTACTGTCTTCGTTGTGCGTGGTGTTTAATTTTCTATTTTGTTGTTTTTTGTTTTTTTTTTCCAAGTGTATTTTTTGTTAGAGACTGAGAGTCCACTTTGTTAAACATTCTTTAAAAATTAAAGTTTATTGATTTATTACACTTACATATCACGCTTTTATAATTATTAGTTGTAAAATGGTCACCAGGCAATATTATCGCTTATCGCAATAATTTGTGAGACCCAGCAAAATTTGCTATCGTGACAGGTCTACTTGTTGCTCAGGGTTTGATCCTAATATCATTTTGCAGAGTCAAAACCTCATTCCAGAGCAGTCCAGCTGAAACATGGACACGAATTAGGACTCAATGGGCCTCATGCAAGAACCGTTCRTACGCACAGATTTGTTCTTAAGTTGTGCGTACGAGTGATTTAGGAGAATTTGTGGCATTCACCACCAATGTTTTGGTATTCTAAGATTTTCTTCAGATACGAACAAAATTCACGAGTGGTCCAGACCTGTCGTATATTTTACGAGCAGTCAGTCTGCTGTTATCCAGACGGATTTTCTTCATTAATAACTTAATATTTCATTAGTTTGAAGAAATTTCGAGTTGAAAATAAATCACACTCCATAATTATGTTGACAGTAGTTTATTCTGTTTGAACTGGAATTAGATTTTAAATGTAACNGCTGTTATCCAGACGGATTTTCTTCATTAATAACTTAATATTTCATTAGTTTGAAGATATTTCAAGTTGAAAATAAATCACACTCCATAATTATGTTGACAGTAGTTTATTCTGTTTGAACTGGAATTAGATTTTAAATGTAACAACATAAATTGATTAGATTAAATTAAACTGGCTTTTAATGCTGTTGTATGACACTACAGTATTAATAATATGAAGATCTCAAACTAAAAAACAACTTAAATTATGAATTAATTGATGTTTGGATACATTTAAACGGCTTATTTTTAGAACCGCATCCGACACTTGTGACGGTCGGGAGGGGGGAGACCGCCAGGACGCGTGGTGGTTGGAGTGGGGGTAGCGGTGCACGACCGCTCTTCCTTTGAATAAATGAAAACTATGTAACACAGTTGTTTACACTGATATTAAAAATATTTGACCAAAGAGAAACTAGAGCAGGGCTACAGAGAGAGATGAATATGATTTAGATTTTTATTTCTGTGACTGTAACGACCCACAGGAGACACGACATTAACAGCAGTCGTCATTTCATTCCTTGGCTTTAAAGCAGATCCTTAATTTCAAGCTGACGCTGCTAAAAATTACATTTTTTTGTGGATCTCCAAGAGCAGGACTTCAATCTCTGAACTCGTAAAGTTCTTCTTTTTTACTTTGCGATGTCATTCATGAATGGACACGTCCTGGTATGTGTGGCAGGAAACGTATATCCTTATATGGTGTTTTTGGGGTGGTAATGTAAATTACCTCTCCGCATGCATGAGCAGCTGGATACGAACAGGTGTAATTCATCATGTTTACGCAGCTCATTAACACTTTTCCTGAAGATAGAAGAGTTTGTTGAATCTGATGTGGCATGTTCGTATGAACCCTTCATACAAACAAAAGTAAGAGAAATTTAGGATAAGAATATGAACATGTTCTTGCATGAGGCCCATTATCATCTATCCTGGACAACTACGCATCTTTATAGCTGCCACAATCTCACTTTTATTTTTAAAATCACGGAAAAGCACATCTGCAGTGTCAAACAGTTCTTTCATAACTTTGTCATCGCTGAAGTACCTTTTTTGTGTTGAGCTAGGATGTAGATAAGGCTATCGTAGTAGCCTTACCTGTTGGACCGAGTGAAAACCAAGCTGCAAGCTTGTTTTGGTTTCAGCTGACGCTTTAGGAGGGAATCCGTCTCGTAGCGTGTGCATTGTTTTGAAAGAAATGCCATTCCACGTTACCCTTTTAGGGCAAGGCAGCGCTCTAATTACATATGAGTCCTCTTCCCACTCCAGGTGAAAAGAATAAGTTTTAGTTTGCCTGTCAGCTCGTTTGTCATTCATTTTTTTCCACCTCTCCGCCATGTTTTAACACGTGACCCTAAAGTTTTGCAAGATCATGTTCGGAGCATTGTTTCACAGCACCAAAAACTTGCAAGACTACGTCTGTGAGAATACAAGATGGGGAGGGTGAGGGAGCGCGTTGCTGGAATGTGTTACTTAAATTCCTCCCACCTCCACCGCTTCTGCCGGACTTAGAATGAAGCTCAGCGAGCGAACATGTCACCTTGCTCTAACAGCTGACAAGCCGGGTCGTCAGCTGTTAGAGCATTGCGCTTCGCGGGCGACTGGGAACCAAGCGACTGGTTGGGCAGCCCTGTCTTAATACTTAAAGGTGTTAGACTGCTATTGATTCTGTGAGCTGTCAGAACAGCTGGTGCACTGAAAACATCTTTAACTTAAATTACCCACAGGTAGACCTTTTTTTAAACTCCTCTAGCATCAGAAGGTGATAGTTGCTTTAAACTAAAGGTGAAGACATTCAGTATTTCTCCAACGTTTCTGGCCTGGGGGAGGGTGATAGATTTGGCAGACAGGGCGGCTGCATCAACCAGACAAAGAATTTGAGTTTTTGCTTTATTAACATCAATAAATGTAATATTCAGTCTTATAAAGCTATGGGGAATATTTCCCCTCTGACAGCTAAGCTATGTCAAAGCTGATCGCCCAGGTGGGAATGGTCTTTGGCTGCTTGTTTGGGGGAGCTGGGATGCATTCTTCACTTGGACCTGGAGCAGGAGATGTAATCTGGCTGCTGTTGTTTCCATGTTCATTGTGAGTGAGTTAATAAACATGTTTTTGTTGTGTGTTTTTTCTTTTTTTTTTTTTTCATAGAAAGCAGTGTTTTTCCAGGCGTGTTCTCTATTTGCTAGTGATACAAGTTGGACGTGTCTTTATGCTAATAATGATGCTGTGAAAATATTTTCACATGCAACATTTTGTTTAGAACATGTTTAATGAAATATAGGTAATCTGGTGTATTTTTGGTGAATTATAATTTTCAAAGTTTAAGGATGTAAAGCATCAGAACAGGAACGATTCAAACGTGGTGAATACTTTTGCAGCCTAATAAAGATGCACCAATGTTAACACGACTGCTGCCCCCCTACAGGTGGACCTGGACTGCGTGAAGCTTACTCCTTGTCCTGCATCTCCAATGGAGGAACATCTGGACGAAAGAGAGAGTCCACCTCTGTCACAAGAAAGGAGACGGTGTCGTCTGCTGCCAAGAGGTAAAATCCCCAAAACTTGTCCAGCTGATGGGCCTTAGCCCATCAGCCCCCTCATGACTTATCATGAGGACTAGCAATGCACCGATATGAAAATTTCAGTCTATATCGGCTTAAATTGGTGTTACAGACGATAACCGATATTTACCGATATTTAGGGATGGGTACCTTTGGCATTTGAATCGATTCGGTACTAATATCCGGCACGTGGGACTCGGTACCTGTACTTAATGGTACCAATTTTCGGTTTTGTGTGTGTGTGTGTGTGTGTGTGTGTGTGTGTGTGTGTGTGTGTGT